AGGATTGAGTTCACGCAGCTTGGGGAAACAAACTTTGTCAAAACGAAAATAAAAATTTAACGTTAAATGTCCAAAGAAGGAATCCTCGTGGCTAGTCCAAAGCTTGTCAGTAGAAAGAGCGCAACGTGTCGATGCTGGTCCGCCTTCTGACGATTCACGGCGTCAGTCTATACGTATTTGGACGAGTTCAAGTCCTCTTCTGGAGAGGTGTGTTCATCTCCACAACCCCACTCGTTTTGCCTTCAAACGGGAAGGTAAAGCCTCTCTTCTCGATCTGTGTTTTACCTCCATCCCCGAGTCCTGTTGGTAACTCTGATCATGCGGTAGTATCTGTTAACATCTCCTTTAACTCCACCCCCTGTAAAGAACCTCCTACCACTAGAACTTACTACTATCAACGAGCTGACTGGGACGCGTTCCGTGATTTCCTCCGCGATGTCCCCTGGGATCGTGTCTTTACGCTCCCCGTTCAAGAATGTGCTTCTGGGGTCTCTTCCTGGGTTAAAGCTGGAATCGACGCTTTCATCCCCTCAAGGAAATATAGGCTCAAGTCGCGCTCCCCCCCCCCTGGTTCTCCGCTACTTGCTCAGCCGCTATCGCCCATAGGAACCACTACTTCCACCTATACCGTAGCGACATGTCTGACTGCAATAGACGTCTCTTTGCCTCTGCCCGTAATGAGTGTAAACTTGTCCTCAACAATGCTAAGTCACTATTTGCTGCTCGGATGAAGGAGCGTATTGCATCTCGCAAATTTGGCTCCAAAGATTATTGGCGGCTCTACCATACATGGTCTGGAGCCCCTTCTGTTTGCCTCGGGGTTCTTGATAGGCTCCAGAGGCGGATATGCAATATAATTAGCCCTGATCTGGCATCTCGTCGACAGACACTTTCTCACAGACGCGCCGTCGCCTCTCTCTGTCTGTTTTAAAAATACTTTCATGGCAATTGCTCCGAGGAGCTGCATTCCCAGACTTCATGAGTTCAAGCGCCCGACGAGGCTGGCATCCCGCTCTCACCCCTTCACTGTCGAAACTCCTAAATGTAGCCGTCTCTTCTACTCCAATAGCTTCATGTCTCGCACCTCTCGCCTGTGGAACTCCCTTCCCTATTCTAGTTTCCCTGAGAGCTATAATCTCCAGCTATTCAAATGTAATGTCAATCGACATCTCCAGTTGCCTTGATCTATCCACTACCCTTCTCCTCATCCTTTCTTCTATCACTCCTATCTGATCTTGCTCCAAATTTTCTGTAACCCCTTGCATCCTAGTGGCTTCCCGCCTTGCTTGGGGTGAAACGCTTAATATATATATATATATATATATATATATATATATATATATATGGTGTCCATAAAGTTCGTGTGCACTTTAAAAAATTTATAATTATTTGTAAAAAGGATTACAAAGTAGTAAATGTATATTTTTTAAGGTTTTATTGAAATTTTATTCAAGTTTCCACATGTCCTCCACCATTAGCATTACAAAGGGTAATACGATTTTGCAGTTCACGGAAAACATTTGCCAACTGATTTACAGTAATGCCTGAAATCACATTAGTTATTTTAGCTATACTTAAAACTAGGTATATTAAACTCTATTACATTTTTTTACAGATTATTTCTATCACAAATACAAATAAAGTTATAATTTTTTAAAGTGCACACGAACTTTATGGACACCCTGTATATATAATATATATATATATATATATATATTAGTATTAAACATACAATTATGGCACAAGGCTGAAAAGGGGGAATGGGTTGAGGCTGGTCTTTACTGACTATCTTATACCTAGCTACTCTGATTCACGACCCCTTCACTCATTACAATTCACCATAAAAACTCATCCGTCACCAATCAATCCTCCATCTACCATAATACCGCATCCTCTCAGGGGGGAGGGACCTACAAAACGCACTCCGTGATATAAAAATTTGATAATAAATATTTCGTACATAAAAATTTAATGATTGACAATGAGAGGGGAGGAGATTAGCCCCAAAACAAACTGAACATAAAAACAAATCAAAATAAAACATGAATGATGTTAGTAGGGTCCGTCCAACCCTTCAAAAAAGAGAGGCTGCTGTATTCTGCCCTATGAAAGAATCAAGGGGCTCTTTCGCAAAGGAAAAGGAGAAAATATCTGACCCAGTCAAGATGAAAGGGGACCAAAAACAAACTAGGGAGGTTGGGAATCTCAACTTGGATCATAACAAAAGATGTAGCCGGGAGCAGATCAGGAACAACACTTTAACATTAATTAAATGCACAAAGCTTGTTTCGCCTAACCAGGGGAGGGCTCCATAGGAAACCACCCTGAAGCGAACTAGGCAGACTTAAAAAAAAAAAAAAGAAAATCAAGGCTAGCCCAGTTCACACGAACCAAGTTCGCCCCAGTCACCCACCTTTCACTAAAGACTGTCGAATGCAAACGTTTTCTATCAGTTCTAATCTTCATCTTGAGCTGATGAGAAAGACGGTTGCCTCGCAAGACTTCCTCTTGACGCGTCGTCCAAATTACCGTTCGGACCGTGGCCAGCAGCGTAACGCGAAACACCATTCATTTCACACCAGAATACGAGGGCGACACATTGTCACATGCGTATACGCGATCAATGAGCACGAGCTTTTCGGGAGCGATGCGAACCGTCAACTCGCCGAC